TGTATTTACATATATATATACATTTATATATATATATATATTGTTTGTTTATATATATTTATATAAGTATTTAAACCTATATATATATTTATATATATATATAAACCTATATATATAGATATATATATATATATATATATATATATATATATTTATATATATATATATATATATATGTATATATTTCTATATATATGTATATATATATATATATATATATATATATATATATATGTATATGCATATGCATATTTACGTACATATATATATATATATATGAAGTCATCCTGTTTGAGTGCGCTTATAGTTTCTTCCGTCAGCACCATCTGCAATACACCTCACAATCTTCCTATCCTTGTGACCTGAGGACTTACTGATTCCGTTCCATTCCCTTTCGCTGTCATCTCTGCTGTCCTGTCGTATCGTCTGTCAGGAATGCTCACCGGCGCTTCACAAACGAAGAAGGAGACCAACGCCATAGCCGTGAAGTTAGCGGCGTATGATGCTGACACTCAGAAACTCATTGACCGGTTAAAGGGCTCTGCTGCATGGGGCTTAGAAGGTGGCATGCAAACACTCGTAGACGCCATCAGAACTCAGCTCAACGCAATGGTATGAGCCTCTGCTGCGCTGTTGTGTAGGGGTTGTGGGGGTGTCCCTATCACATGTGTTGTGTAGGTATCTCTATCACATGGTTCGTGTGAAACCCACAGACCATGCACCTGTTCAGGGTTTAGTGTTTAAGGTGTAGGGTTTTAGTAGGGTTTAGTATTTAGGGTGTAGGGTTTAGTGTTTAGGGTGTGGGTTTAGTGTTTAGGGTGTAGCGTTTAGTGTTTAGGGTGTAGTGTTTAGGGTGTAAGGTTTAGTGTTTAGGGTGTGGCGTTTAGTGTTTAGGGTGTAGTGTTTAGGGTGTAGAGTTTAGTGTTTAGGGTGTAGGGTTTAGTGTTTAGGTTGTAGGGTTTAGTGTTTAGGGTTTAGTGTTTAGGGTGTAGGGTTTAGTGTTTAGGGTGCAGGGTTTTGGGACTGTTGCTCATCTGTTTGCGTATGATGCGTCTGTGTCTGTCACATCCACCGGTGGTGTTGCCGACGTCTTCGTTCTGCAATGTCTGTGTGGCATTGGATCGCGTTTTTGGTAACACGACTATTGACGAACAGCTGCGATCATGTTATAACTCTTTCGCTCTCTCCCTCTAAACCACGTCAAACAGCCACACTCTACGCATTCTAATTGTTTCTTTCAAGTGTGTATTTGTGTACATAGGAGCATTTAGGGTTTTAGGGTTCAGGCTTAATCCTTCGTACACATCCACATCGCCTACCTGTCGGTCTCACATTAACCTGCGCCTCATGACTGTCATATGCGTCTCTTGACTTCGCAGCCGAATGTGGAGGTGCGAACAGACAGCGAATGCACCTCAGTGGTCAGCTCTTCCTCGGGTGTGGTGGTGCAGGTGCGTAACGGCCCTAATTCTCAGACCACAGGTGCACCGGAGACCCTGACAGTGGACCATGTCATGCTGACTGTGTCCTCGCTCGACGCCAGTCGGTTGTTAACTGCCCCTGAAAATGCCACAGATACCGGCTGTGTGAGAAATGCCACAGATCCGCTGGTGTCGGGTGCGTCGTCGTTTGGGCGGTTGACGAGGCTGTTGCGGTCTACGCCGTTCACGTCTGTGGGAGTGGTCAATCTGGTCTACGACACAGACATCCTCAAGCACAAGGTACGCCCCAGGCATTACTCCTAGGGTATTAGCGTTTAGTGTTGTAGGGTTTATGTTTAGGGTTTGTGTTCAAGAGTATAGCGATTGACGGGTTTAGGGTTTATGTTTTAGGGTTTAAGGGTTTGAGTAAGGCGTGTTGGGTATTGGTGGGTCGTCGTATTGACTACTCGTTTGCCTTTCTCATCGGTTGAGTTACATTGTAATGTCCTGTGGCGTTCTAGGGTTTTAGGG